TTCAAAGCACAGAGAATAATGAGTTCAAGGCCAGCCTGGTCTCCAGAGAGAGTGCCAGGTTAGGCTCCAAAGCTACACAGAGAAACCCTGTCTCAAAAAATAAAACAAAACAAACAAACAGAAAGATCTATAATAATACTTTTTTATTTTGTGAGCATTCTATATATGTATATGATATATTTTGGTGAAATCTATTCACTTTCATTATGTCCTCCTACAACTCCCTTTCGGACTTCCTCCAACATGTTCCCTCCCCACTTCATGTCTTTGTGTAAGCTATCCCTTTAGTACATATAATGTTGCCCATATGGACACGACAAATGGGTTCATTGCCATCTACTTGATTAGGGGAAACCTACCAATGGCCACACTCAAGGCAAGTTGATTCTTCTTCCCCCAGGAGCCATCAGTTGTCAATTGCTTCCCAACTAGAGTTGGGATTTGTGATCAACCCTCCATGCTATAATTTTGAATAGCTTAATCTTTTTCAGGTCTTGTGCAAGTGACCATATCTGCTGTGAATGTGCAAGTGCAGTGGGCATGTTATATCCAGCAGACAGCATTTCAAAGCACTCTTCCTCATCCTCCTGTTCTTACATTATTTCCAGCCTTCTTCCATGGTGTTCCTTGATGCATGGGGAAGAAGTTGGTACAGATTTTCTATTTAGGACTGAGCACTCACAGTGTCTTATTCTCTGTGCTTTGAATACTTGAGAGTCTACAAATCATTTGGCTACTCCTTAGCTACTACCAGGCTTCTTAATTGCCTCCCTCTAGCATAGGTTTTCAATACAGCACTGAGAAATCATGTTAAGGGATCCTCAGAGAAAATGTCTCCCAGTTGTAGCATGTTGTGGAATAATTTTTCTATACACTGTGAAGATTTGTAATTCAGGTTGGTTTTAATGAAAAGCTAAATGACCAATAACTAGGCAGGATTTTTAAGGACAGAGAGGATGTTGAAAAGAAGAAGGGTAGAGACAGGAGAAGCCAGCCAGATGCAGAAATGAGTGGGACACACAAAATGGGATAGAGATAAAAGCCACATGGTGGAATGTAGCTTAGTAAAAATATGGGTTAATTTAAGTTATAAGAGCTAGTTAGAAAATAGCCTAAACTATGGTCTGAATTTTTATAATTAATAAGTCTCTCTGTGGTTATTAGGGTGCTGGCTGGTGGAAGAAAGACTCCTACAGTAACATCCATTGATAATTCTTGATTAACTATTGCCATGATGGTTGTGAGATGAGTTTCCATCTCCACTACTTCCTCAATTTACTAGTTGCCCTTTAGCATTCAACTAGAAGTGAGTTTCTTCTCCCATTGTTTTCTCTCTCTCTCTCTCTCTCTCTTTTTTTAGTTCAAATTAGGAACAAGCTTGCTTCACATGTCAATCCCTT